ACCCTGAGAGGTTTGATGGGGGTAGGGGCTGGAAGGGCTATGAGAGCACTGAGGGGGAGACCACAGCAGAGTGGGGGACTCTGAGGAGCTGCCTAGGATGGGTGTAGGGGGTCTTTTCTGGAGGCAGAAGGGTGTCCTGGATGACCTCTACCTCACCTGCCTTCTGAGAAAGAGAACAAAGACACCATCAGTGTTTGGGGGCACATGTTTCTTTTGAACCTCATGCCTTCTGGATGTTCTTTGCTTTGCTCTGGGCAATGGGATTCTGTCTTTTGCCTTCCTCCTGCCATCCTCTGGGTGTATGCCTCCCACTTTGTGAGAGCCCTGGGTCTGCCGGCTTCCTGGAATCTCCTGGAGCCTCCTGGCTTGTTGGGGAGGAGGGGATGGGGGACTATTGGGGGCTGTGCCTTTTTTGGACTCAGCAGGGATTATTTTTAGGCTGGCAGATGGAGGTGGCAGTGGCTGTCGCTGGTATTATTAGACAACAGGCCTGTGGTTTGGAAGTCTGGTGCCCAGAGGAGGAGGAGGAAGAGGAGGCTGCAATAAGGACTTGTACTAATGAGCGGAGGCTGGGTACTTACTCTGTGTCCCCCCTTCCCACAGCCGCCAGCCAGATCCAGGCAGGGGCTCCAGAGTCTCAGGCAGAATGACGTTTATCCAGAGCTAGTCAGGGACTATCCAACTGCCTTCTAAGACAGGCCCACCCTGTAGTCTTGGGCTACAGGGTCTATATTCTCAAAACCTGTCCTGAACATAGAGTGGGAGTGGCTGACCTCTGAGTCAGTGCTTTAAGAGAGAGGAGACACAGTGGGATGGAGGCCTTAGTCTCCTGGGCCTGGGTTGGGGCAGGGTTGTGTGACAGAGCTGAAATCAGTTCTCTTTGGGTGAGCCACATAGCCCCGTTTGTTCTTTGGTAAATGACAAACAACAGTATTTGTGTTGGGGCCACTGTGGGCATTTAGCAAGATTCCTCTTGCTTCCCAGGGCAGAACCTGGTATGCAGTGGGCATTTACAGCATGCAAGGCCAGAGCCTGGTATGCAGTTGGCATTTACAGCATGCAGGGCCAGCCTGCCAACTGAAGGTCTCTCAGCCCTGGCTCCTCCTACCTTCCTCTGGTACTTAGAACATTTCCCTTCTCAGTTAGCCTTCCTCGCCCAGTCCTTCCCTGGTGGATGAGCTCCAGGTTGTGAGTGTGGATGCAGGGCTGTGTCAGGCCCTGGCCACCTCATGGTTCTGTGCCCACAGGGGTCCAATGGCAGCCTTGGACTCAGATGCCCACTGAGTACCACCTGGCCCCGAGAGCAGATTTGTGCCTTCTGGGCTTCCCAAAAGGTCAGACAGACCTTGGGGGGCCACCTCATCCTCTCTTGCCCTCCTACTTTGTCTTCCCTGCCAGAACAGTTCCAAGGGGGGCTAGACAGACCCCCAACACTCAGATCTGCTAGGCTTAGGGCTCCGATATTTCCCACTTTCTCTCAAAAGAGTATACGAGATCCATGGCACCTGGTGGCTGCCTTCCCACTGTGCCCACCCCTGCTGATGCCAGTTTTCTCCCTTGGAGGGAGGAGCCTGGCCCCTGGGACTGCTGTGGACTGCTGTGATGGGGGAGGGCCGGGGGGCCCTTGCCCCTCCTCCTTCAGCACCTCCCACCCACCAGTAGCCACATCCTTGGGTCTCTGTTGCTGCCCTGCATCCTTTCCCAGGTTGGGTGTGCCTGTGTTCGACGGGCACTAGCCCCTCTTGGACTCTCTCCTCCCTAGCTTCTTGGACCTCTTTCTTTCCTGAAGTTGGGTGTGGCTCCTCCCTGTATTTGGGTTTATCTGTCTGTTCTCCATCAAGCCCCTCTTCCCTCTTTACTGTCAGCCTGTTAGTTTTTTTTTTTTCACATTGAGCTTTTCTGGAGAGAGTGTTTTATTAGACATACTTTGGCTCAGAAAGGATCAGGCTTAGGGAGAATTGCTTGTGAGTGACGAAGCGAGAGAACATACCGTGTGTGTGTGCGCGCGCGCGTGTGTGTGTGTGTGATGGAGATGAGGGAAAACTGATAAATATTTTAGGATCCAGAAGAAACCAGGAGAATTTGGACTGTGTGTGGAGGCTGGGACATAGCTCCTACCTCTCTGCTTTATTTTGGGGAAACTCCCTCTCATTTTGTCTTGCTTGTCATCTCTGGGCTATGTCCTCTCTGCAGCTGCCTCTCCCTGGTTTAAAGGGTCCTTGAGAAGAGATGCCAGGTGGGCTGCCTTCTTTGGAGTGGGACTTGGGATGGGCCTCAGGCTGGCTGCTCAGTGCTGAGCCCAGGGGCTGACTGGAGCTGGGGTGGGCCCCTGGAGCCATCGTCATTGCTTGGGAAGGTGTGAAGTGGCTGCCTCCTTGCCATGCAGTAAGAACAAGAAAGTGCTAAGTGCAAATGAGCAGCTGGCACAGTGGGAACCCATGTCAAAGCTGACCCCCACCTCCTGGCATTCCCCCCTGCCCCAGTCCATGGACCCTAGCAACTCAGAGCACAACTTCACTGAAGAGGTGCCTGGCCTCTTCCTCCTGCCTAGGACCTAGGGCCAAAACCCTGGAAAGGTGCCACCTCTGTGGCCCATTCTACCCTCCTCCAAGTAGCCTGGCTCCTGGGAGTAACTTTCCCCTCTTCCCCCAGGCTACTGTAGTTTCCCTTCTCATCTCCTCATAGGTCTGTGCTGCAGACACTTGTGTGCATGCACATACACACACATGTGCACACACATATACACACGTTGCTTCTCTGCCTGCTCATGGCGTCTGCTGTTCACCCATTCCCCTTGGTCCAGCATCAGCCTTTGTGCTACTGGATGCTGGGAGGCAGGCTCATCCTGCCAGGTGCCCCTCAGGTTGTAGGGGAGGTGTCCACAGCTGGGCACTCTCCAAGCTTTCCCTGAGGGGTTGGGATGCTAACTTAGCCTGAAGCCAGGTTGGGGTTGGGGGGGAACTGGGAAACCTGCTGGGGCCTCAGGCAGGTGAGTGCAACACTCACTCTGCTCCAAAAATACTCTGTGATCTTAGCTCTTTCTCTAGAAAACAGTGATGTCACCAGGAGCCAATCAGCTTGTGGAAGGGCTTGCCTCCTCCTCCTTCCGCAACTTGCAGGGGAGGGGGAGGGGGAGAGCGAGACACAGATGACATACAGACAGACACGAGGAGACATAGACACAGAAGCACACACATGCAGAGACAGCCCCTGCACATAGAGAAACAGGCAGAAATTCTCCCCTTGCATGAGCCGACAGAAATCCATGGACTCTGTTCCCAAGTGAGTGCGCGCGCGTGCGCACACACACACACACACACACACACACACACACACACAGTGGGGGAGACAAATAGGAAAAGAGACAGGCAGGTAGACAGAGTCACCCACATAGAGTGGAAGCTAGTGAGAAAGATACAGAGACACAGAGTAGGAGCCAGAGAGAGACAGAGACAGAGACACAGAGGAGACAGAGACAGACACACAGAATGATAGAGACAGACACAGAGAAAGAGCCAGAGAGACAGAGCTAGAGTAGGCACCAGAGAGACAGAGAAAGGCAGAGACATAGAGACACAGAGTAGGAGCCAGAGAGACAGAGAAGTGAATGAAGAGACAGAGACAGGGACAGAGACAGAGAGACACAGAAAAGGAGTCGGGGTGGGGGGCGGGCGGAGAGGGAGAGAAGGAGCCAGAGAGAAACAGACATGTAGTAAGACGCAGAGACATGAAGGAAGACAGAGACAGGCAGGAGCAGACAAGGGTCAGAGATGCAGAGAGTCAGGCCAAGGCCAAGCTCTGTCCTAGGTGCTGCCCTGGAGAGTCAAGTGCCCAGCCTGGGACAGGGAGGAGGTGGGGCTGGGTACAACAGTGGTCAGTGTAGGAGTGGTGTGTAGTGCCAGGGAAGGCAGAGGGTGAGGCTTCCCCTCAGCTATGCCTTTTTCTAAGACATAGCTGGACAAGGTGACCTGTGGCCTCCCTGGCCCTGCCTGGCCTCAGAGCCCTGGCAGAGGAGGAGTGTGGGTTGGAGTGGGACTGTATGCCCTGTTTGAGTTCCAGCAGTGGGTGCCATCCTCCAGCTTGCTGGTGGCATGGGGGAGGGCCTCTCCCACCTGCCTCCTTCCTTGCACCCTCTCCTGCCAGCCAGGGAGGGTGTGTCCTATTTAGCTGTCTGGTTGTCCTCTGCCCAAGGTAGGGATAGCCCTGAGGTCCCCCTCCTCTGTTCCCAGCATCCTGCTTTCCTACTGGTGATGTCTGGGGCATCTCACAGTCTGGTAGCTTTGGGGCTTGGAACCAGGAGGCTGCAGGCCCCTCCCTCCCTCTTCTGCAGCAGGGCTGGTGCAGCGCAGTTGTGGGAGGAGGGGCAGGAGAGGCCAACTCAGGCCTGTGGGGCTTTCCCTCTGGTGTTGCCATGAGCAGCCTCGCTTAGCTTGTTAGGGATTTCCCTGCTCCTGCATGGAGTACCCTTGTTTTGTGCCACGCACATCAGGCTGAGCAGGGGAGGGGAGGTGGAGGGCTGGCTCTGTCATCTCCCACCGAGCTCTAGGGGGAATCGTCCTGGTGCAGGAAGAATGCTCTGTGTTCACAGGCAGACACAGCTAGCAGGGTTGGTCTGCCAGGGCGGGTTGAGGCACCCCACTGCTGTGTCCACAACTCCTTATAATTCTAGGTGGGGCATGCCAGAGGGGACAGGGTGTGGTTGTACCTGCTGCTCTGTGGGGCTGGAAGGGAAGTGGTCTGGCTTGTAGAACTGAAGAGGACTGTGTTCCTCTCCTTTCTCCTCCCTGTCTTTCCCCTCAGGTTGAGGATGCTTGGGGCCCCTAGGGCAGAGGGAGGTGTGAGTAGGGAAGGGAGGAGGGGTGGAGGGCAGTAGGAGGACAAGGGCACACAGGACAGCCGTGAATAGGGAGTGGGGACAACCCAGTGACATGGACGTGGGGCTGCTGGGGTGAGATCTCTTGTCACCTCCTTTCTGTGTCCAATTTGGCTGTCCCTGTTAGGCGCCCACGGCCTGCGAGAGGAGCCTGAATTTGTGACCGCGCGAGCTGGCGAGGGTGTGGTCCTGCGATGCGACGTGATCCACCCGGTGACGGGACAGCCCCCGCCCTATGTCGTAGAGTGGTTCAAGTTTGGGGTCCCCATCCCTATCTTCATCAAGTTTGGCTACTACCCTCCCCACGTGGACCCTGAGTATGCAGGTAAGGTCTGGCGCTTGGTTTCCCCGCCTGGCTTCGGCCTGAGGCTTCCACCCAGGCTCCCAGTGGTCACTGGAGGTCACTGCTCCTCTGTCTTTATCTCTATTGCTTCTTATCTTTTCCTGACTGCTCTGTTATCTCTGTTTCTCACAGTCTGTGCCTTTTTCCTCCCATCCTTTGTACTCCGATAGGTTTTAATTAAGTGGTGGAGGAGAGGGAATAGGAGGCGATGCAGACATAAAGCCCTTCTCCACAGCACGACCTGGGATGCGGAGAAGGGCTGTGGAGTTGCGGGAAGGCTGGAGAGGCCCGTGGGAGAGAGCAAGGACGGAGCAGGAGAGCAGTTCCTATCCAGGGAAGCTGAGTCAGATGGCCCCACCACCCTGTGCCAGGTGTGGCCGCTGGTGGCAGCTGTAGTATTTGCTGTCTGGCTCTGAAGTATTTGCTGCCCTCTTGGCTCTGAAGTCAGGGCACCCCCATCCCTGAGTGTGCAGATGTGTCTCTGGTGCTCCACCGTCTGTGTGGCCAGCAGGTGCCTGATTCCTGCTACCTCTGCCATGCTGCCCTCCACTTCTCCTGGCTCCATTTGTGTCCTGGTCAGTAGTTACTCCCACCAGCAGTGGCCTCCTTGTGACTCACTCCCACCTCCTGTCCCCCAGCCTGTGGGGAAGAGGGTGTGGGGTGCATGTGTGAGTTGTGAGTGTGTGTGTGTGTTGAAAGGAAGGGAGGAAACAGGCAGGACGCAGTGCCGTTACTTTCATCTTTTCTGGTGGCGTCTGAGGTCTGCACTGCCTTCCTCAGAATGCTTATGTCTCTGTCTCTCTCTCTCTCTCTCCTGTGTCCATGTCTCTTGCTCTCTTTTTGCCAGGATTGGTTTCGATAGTCTAGTTTTCAGGCAGATTTCCAGTTTAAAGACAAGGAGGAAAGCAGAGGAGGGTGGTCTTAGCTTTGGCTGAAGGGTGGGTGAGGTGGGGCCTGGTCCCTGGTGGCTTTGCCAGCTGGCCTGGAGGAAGAGGCTCCTGCTGCAACTCTGACCTCATTGCAGCAAGTGAGGAGTGAGACCATGATGGCATCCTACTGGGGGTGAGGATGGAATTCAGGAAGGGTGGCTCAGGGTCTTTGCTCTGCCTGCCCATCCTTTCCTCATTTTTGGTTTTATGGGCCCTGCTGCCCCAGCTCCTGGCATCACTGGGCTTTGGTTGGATCTGCAGTGGCTCTGAAACTGGCAACTGTACTGGGAGGGGATGCTAGCATCCAGTCCCAGCCTGTCTTCTCTCCCTGTAGGGAGAGAAGCTGGGTCAGGCTGCCCTGGCACCCAGCTGGGATGGGGATATTGCTCAATCTGGATGGAGTGATGGAGTGCTCCAGGGCTGCCAGAGATCCCTCACCTGTCCTCTGCTTGCATTCCCCCTCCCCTTCCCTCCCACTCTGTCTCTCCCCTGTCTCTTACTCCTCTTTTTCTCTTTCTTTCTCTCCCCTTCTCTCTTTTTTCCCTCCTCTCTCCTTCTCTCTTCTTTCCTCTCTCTCTCCCTTCTTCCCTCCTCATTTCCTTCTCTCTCCTTCCTTCTCTTTCTTCCTTCCCTCTACCCCTTCTCTTCCCCCTCCTTCCTTCTCCCCTTTCACCCATTCCCTCTTCCCTCCCTCCCCCCTCTCTCCCTCTCCCTCCTCTCTCCCTTCTTCCCCTCTCTCTCCCTTACCCCTCACCCCTCTTTCCTCTCTTTCTTCCCCTTTCTATCCTTTCCTCCCTCCTCTCTCCCTCTCTCTTCTTTCTTCCCTCCCTCTCTCCTCTCTCCCTTTCTCCTCTCCTTTTTCTTCCCTTCCTCTCTCCTTCCTTCCCTCTTTTAAAGCTTGTTCCAGGAGAACTTTCAAAGAATGGGAGTGTTCTGAGGCACTGAGGCTTCTCTCAGTGCCAAACTGAGTTGTTGTTGCAGGCTGGGGCAGGGCCTGCTGGGTGGGAGGGTAGCTCCGTGACCAAGGCATTGGGCCTTTTCCTTTGCTGCCTGCTGCCAGAGGTGGGTGCCAGCTGTTATTGTGGGGCCTTGCTATGCAAAATGGTGTGAAGGTTATGATGGGTCCCCTGCCTTTGGCTGGGGTGAGGTGAGGTGGAGAGCTGCTTGCCTGATGGCCCCTGGGTCTTTTGTCTGCTCTCCTCCCCCAGGCCGGGCCAGTCTTCATGATAAAGCATCCCTGCGGCTGGAGCAGGTTCGCTCTGAGGACCAGGGCTGGTACGAGTGCAAAGTGCTCATGTTGGACCAGCAGTATGACACCTTTCACAACGGCAGCTGGGTCCACCTCACCATCAATGGTGCGTATGACCTCCTTCCTGGGGGTCGGCGGGGGAACAGCCTCCAAGAGCCTGCTCTTGGGAGGCCTCCTCCCAACTATACCCCATCCTTTCCTGCATTCCTTGCTGCAAAGAGGAGCCTACTCAAGCCTCGGTCCCCCAAGAGACCAACTGACTCTTTATCCTCCTCAGTTGCCCTCCTCAAGCTGCCCCACTCTGGTCGGGAACATGAGAGCAGCAGCTCCTTGTATGCATGGGAAGTAGTTTCCTGATGACAGGAGGGCTGAGGGTTTGCAGAGGCAAAATCAGTTACTGCTGGGTTGTTTCCAGCCTTGGGACCACCCTGCTAGCCCAGGAAATGCCTTCCCACTCTCCCATAGAATTTCTGGGGTCCTCCTAGTCTTTCTTTTCAGGTTGACATTTTAGTTCCTTGTCAGATGTGTTCATTTGAGTAATGTGTCCTGAGGGTGCATTGTATGCCCATCCCTGCCCCAGATGATGGTGGCCAGTGGTGAGCAACTCCAGACACGGTCCCTGCTCAGATGGGGTTCACCAGCGAATACAATGAAAGAATCCTAGGAAGAGTAATGGCTTTAATGGCTATCAGTTATTTTTAGCTCAGGTGACATGAGTTGTGCTATGTGTAGATGCTTTTTAACTGCCTGGGTAAGGGCAGAAAAGCTGGGGCAAGTTTACCTTGTGCCTGGGGTTGGCCTGGGCTGAAGGCCTGGGTCTGTGGCTGTGACAGCACCTGGGGCTGGGCCCTTAGGTTCTCCCTGGAGGGAGAGTTTCCCCTTTGTGTCCCTGAGGGTCCTTGCTTGGGAGGAGATATGCCAGTGGTGCCAGCAGGCTGGAGCCGTGAGGAAAAGATGAAAGAGATGAAGGAGATGAAGGAGAATCAGTACCCATCATGGGAGGAAAGTAGCATTTCTTGTTTTGTTTCATTTTTTGAATGATTTGGTTCTTCTTTATTCAATTGATGACAAAAATTTATTCAACCGCCACTGTGTGTGGACACTGTGCTAGTCACTCAGTGTAGGTGCTCGGCGTAGGTGCTCGGATGTACAACAAGCAGCTCAGGTCCTCATGGTTTTGATGTCTGAGACTGCAGGCACTGTGATTGGAAGAAAGAAGTTGATGTTGCTTCTAGCTTGGAAGCTTCTCTTAGTATTGATCTGCCCTGAAGGATGGCTCTGTCTGCCCTGCCTCGTGGGGCTGGGCCAGACCTGAGTTCCTTCTGGGTCTGAGAATCTGTCCAGGGTCCTGGAAAAATGGAGTATTTTGTATTTTAGCAAGAGCACTGGACTTTGAGAAAAGAAACCTTAAAGCTGGCCCTGTGTCAGTGTTTGCCCAGGCTGCCCGGCTCGGCCTTTTCTGCGAGACGCAACTGGTTCCTGTCAATCAGTCCCAAAAGACCAATTGAAGCACATTTTATATCTTGGTGAGTAGCTCCAAAGCTATCACCCAGCAAGGTTTGGAGTTACCCCCATTGGTGCCTGCTATGGTGTGAGCAGAGAATAAAAACTCATCTTTGAAGTAACCCAAGCAAAGTGTAATCAGAAGGGTCAGCCTGCCACTGAACCCCGCCCCGATGAGCACCAGGCTGAGACCCTGTGGCCTCCTCCTCTCTTCTGTGCCCTTACATGACTGGATCACCTCAAGGTGCTGCCTGCTTCCTTCATGCTGTCCTGCTTGGTCATGTCTATTCAGGAATCTGAGACACCAGGCATCCTGTGGACACGGAAAAGTAAAATTTCATTTGGAATTGTATGGTCATAGCATCTCTGTCTTAGTTTGCTTGAGTGAGAGTTGATTCTTTGGGAATTCCTCATTGCTTGGAGTAGCATAAGTGCGTAACAAGAGCCTGAAAAGATTTGGCTTATTTTGTGAACCTGCTGCGTGTCAGCTGTGTGATCCTGGGCAAGGTAAGTTACCTGCCTGAGCTTCAGTTTCTTCAGTCACAGAAAACAGAGCCTATTTGCAGGGTTGTTGTGAGGATTAAATAAGACGCTGTGTGAGAAAGTATCTTGCACAGTGTCTGGAACATTAATTACATGTGGGTAATTATGTGTGAGATGCTGGCCATTCTCCCTCTCAGGAGAGAAAAAAATAAAGTCAGATGAAAACCTAGTAGCAGGGATGTCAGGCTGGGAGGTGCAGAGGACTTTGGTAATATAAAAGTCCTTGTGAAACCACCAATAATTATCCATTCAAATCATAATTTTGGAGGTCCACTCTGGCAGGCTCTAGGAATACAGTAGGAGGTATGACCCAGTCCTGGCTCTTAAGGAGACTTCAAGAAGCTGTCAAGTCCAGAGAGGACTGCCATATGGCTTTGAGAGCAAAAGGGAGGGAGGATTTCTCTGAAGAAATGGCCTCTGTTAAGAGACCTGGCCAGGGAGGGCAGTTAGCCAGGTGCCAGTGGGTGATGGGGAAGGGTACTCCAGGTAGAGGGAATGACATGCCCAGAAGCCCAGAGGGAGGAAGGCGGCGCATTCAAGGAGCGCAGGGAGGTCGTTCATATGCTGGGCAGAAGAACTGAGGATGGCACACCATCTGCCAGGCTTGAGGACCAGGACTGGTGACAACATTCTTGCCAGAATTGTGGCGCCTACCTTCAAGTGTGCAGAACAGAGCGCACGTCTCCAAGGTGAAAGGAGATCTCTCTTCTCTTCCCCTATTCTCTCTTCTCAAGTTCTGAGGTTCTTTCCAGCATAAATATTTCCATTATTGTAGGAAGGAATCCAAGCACCAGCACTCTGTTGCTTCCAAACTAGAATGTTTAATGTCAAGCATTTTCTGACAAGGATCACCTTTGGAAAATGAAAGGCCAGTGAAAATTAGAATTACAAATTGTCTCATTCTCCTTTTGTGTTTTCTTTGAAGACCAGTTGGGTGGAAACAGACCAAATTATTCCTTTATCACATATAAAATACCTGGAAAGCCCAAGCCAAGCCTTGCTTTAGGTTGGTGAATTACATGGAAGAGAGACCAGCCTATTTCTAACCTGCACTATTAATTATAGGGCACTTGTAAGAAAGAATTAAGCTTGGAAATGCAGCTGGCAAGCTAACATCTAATTCAGTAAATAATTGAGAGTCAAACCATTATTTTCCTGAAAACTCGAAATTGTTCAAAGTACTTTCCTGATTAGCACCTAAATAATAAAGTAATTATATAATTAGCAAGTAATTTGTCACTTCAGAATGTAAATTTAATTTACTATCTTTTCTTTTAAACTTGACACCAGAGGTAATAGAGGCAGTGACTGTGCTGGGCTTCAAGGGGGCAGACAAGGCAGGAGGGGCTCTGTCAGGGATGCACACGGGCTCCCGCGGAAAGTTAGGATCCCAGGACCCCTTTACAAGGCCTTGGAATGCCTTTCTTCCATTTCTTTTAGTGTGTCCTGAGACATTGGATGAGAACTGATTTTTTTGAGACCGCGTGTTGTGTGTGTTTTATGTGCTTAATTCACCCGCAAGTCACTCTCCAGATGTTGCTGTATTAGGGACGGGCCTTGGAGATTCTAGATGAAAGTGGTCTTGCTCCTAAGAAGTTGGATGTGTTGCATTCATATTGGTCTGTAGGTATGTGAATGTGCATACACTTGCATTCACTTATTTATTGCATTCACATGCTTGTCTGAGCACTCTGCTCCTTCCAGGAACTATGCTCAAAACTGGACACACAGTGTGATTTCACAAAAGGGGTCTGTTCTCACGGAGTCGCCATTCTAATAAAGGGGATAGATAGGAAGGAGGTGAACAAATATTTGTAGACAGAAAAGAGAGAGAGAATTCAGTTTGTGATATGTGCTTTAAAGAAAATAAAACTGCCCAAGGGAATGGAAAATGCTGGATGTGCCATCTTAGATAGGATGGGCGAACCAGGTAAGGCAGCATTTTAGCCAAGACTCACGTGAACCAAGGAGTGCGGTCCAGGCATAGAGTTCCAGGCAGGGAGAACAGCGAGGGCAAAAAACATGAGGTTGAAGTTGTTGGCATGTTCACAAAGAAGCCAGTATGATGGTTAGAGCGCAATGAAAGGGAGATGAGGTTGGTGCGGAGGCAGGACCAAATCCTAAAGCACTTTGACTAGTTCTTGGAGTAAGGCTGTGCAGGGAGGGGAGTCTCCCTCAAGGTTTCTCACTAATACCTCAGAGGCCCCTGGGGAGATGATAGTGATGATGGTGATAATGGCAGGCTAACAAACATTTTACAAGATCCTTTTCACAAATGTTGACTACTTATTCATTCTTCACATCATTTCTGGAGGGTAGGAGATTTAGGTAAGGCCCAGAGAGGCCAAGTAACTTGCCCAAGGCTACAACAAGTGGTAAGCTGGCACTTGAACTTGGGTTCTGAGCTCTAGGCGCCTTGAGATGAGTTCAGAGCAGCCTGTGCCATCCTGCTGCAGTGGGCCTCAGGGCTGGAGATCAGAAATGGAAGCCTTCTTGCCATTTCAGAAGACTGCGAAACTGTTAGTCCAAGGGGTTAAGATTGACCAGATTGCTTCTACAGGCAGCTCAGGCAAATGAGACTGAGTCTCTTATAAGCCGATTATCTAAACAGGATGGAGTTTTAATCAAATCTCCATTGCAGGGGAAGATAACCTGGCATAATCAGAGAAGAATTAAGAAGGGAGTGGCCGTGGAGTGGGCCATCCACCTTCATCCAGGAAGCCAGAGAGGGAGGAAGGTGGATAATCCTTTCAGCAGAATCTGGGGAAAGGAAGACTCTGGCTGTAGCCTGTGATCTGTGTTGGGCCTAGATGGGGCCCAGATGTGCATATCCTGGGACTGTGGGAGCCTAGCTGAGGGGTTCAGGAAGTAGGGGCTCCTGTGTATCATGGACAATCCTGAGGGAAAGACAGGATGACAGAACAGTTTGGGGAGGTGAAGGCAAGAGAGTGTTCTGTGTGGCCTTGGAGAGCAGTTTCGCTTATGCTATGTCCAGCAGCTTCTTTGGAGGGGAAGCTACAGATACATGAGTTTACTAAGACTGAGCTAAGTATAGTGTAGGCAGTGTGGAGAATTTGGACCCAGCCTGGCTGAGTTTGGATGCGGGTCTTGCCCACCCTGCAATGTTGGTGGGCAGAGGATTTTGTCCATCTCCACCTTTGTTCCTTCATCCTTGCATCTCACGGAGCTGCAGGGAGGGTTTTGCGTGGGGTGGGCAGTGTCCAGCATGGCAACTTGCTGATTCCATTCCTCCCCTTCATGGTCTTTCTGCAGCCCCTCCCACCTTTACAGAAACACCCCCCCAGTACATCGAGGCCAAGGAGGGTGGCAGTATTACCATGACCTGCACAGCTTTTGGGAACCCCAAGCCCATTGTTACCTGGCTCAAGGAGGGGACGCTCCTCGGTGCTAGTGGAAAGTACCAGGTAAGTGTGGCTCTAGTTTGGGGCACTCTGTCACTCCCCTATGCCCGCATAGTGGCCTCCTACCGTACCCGACACTGACGTTGCGCGTCAGCACAGTGCAGACAGGAATGCCGACATCCAGCTTGCCTGTGTCCTGTAGGTGTCCTTGGAGGGAGGTGAGCAAGGAGGCTCCTACCCTCTGCATCCCCAGGTGTTTGTGTCCTGAGGCCCTCTCCACTCAGCGTCTCTGACTGCATCTCTCCGCCTGAGAGTCGAGTCGGTGGGGCCGAGGGCGGGTGCTGAGCTCTGTCCATCCTCGGCCCCCAGGTGAGTGATGGTAGCCTGACAGTGACATCGGTCAGTCGAGAAGACAGAGGCGCCTACACCTGTCGAGCGTACAGCATCCAGGGCGAGGCTGTCCACACGACCCACCTGCTTGTCCAAGGTAGGAGTGATTCCTCACCTCTTCACCTGTGGGCCCTCATAGGGGAGCCCAGCCTGGCTGAGTTCAGGGATGTTTTCCCAGGGCATGATTGGCATGGTTGGCATGGCTGTGGTCGTGGAGTTGCAGTAGTGTGAGGGACTATGCAGGGCTCCCGTGTGTTACCTATCTCACCTGCTAGAGCTTCCTCACTGGCCTGCCTGGGAAAGGGCCAGGCCCAGAGGCTGTGGCCAGGCACTGCATGGCATGGCAGGGAGGCCCTGTGCTGCGTGGATTTTTGGTTTCTTCCTCTGTCCAGATAGCACCCTGCCATGCCTCCGTCTCTCCAGGAGACCTCCCTCAGGCCATCCATCCATTAGTGATGGCATCAATAAATAAAGAGAAATCCAATCCAAGCCCCAGACATTTAAGTAACACAACGGGCATTTGGCAGAGCTGGACTCTGTACAGTCAGCACTGGGAGATGTCAGACTGCCCTGCCTGGAGCCCCAGAGTCTCCAAGGAGGGGCTGGACACTGCCGATGATGGGGCAGCATCCAGGTGAAGGGGTCTCTGCCCTGTGCTAAGGCTGCCCTCTGCCTCCCCACCCTGCCTGCTACAGGAACAGGGGAAGGGTTGGTGGCCACTGCATGTCTTCCTGCCTCCTGTTTCAAGTGCTGAGTGGCAACCAGGCCAGATGGACCCTTGAAGCCTGGGGAAAGCTGGTCCCACTCTCAGGAGAGAGCCAGGCCAGCAGCTGCCGCCTCTGCCTGAGCAGCTAGCACCAAGACTGTTGGCATCCCACCCCTGCTTACTCCCCTGTCTCTGCACTCCCAGATGCCTTCTTAACTTCGGGCTGAGAAGCAGTATAGGGCTCTGACTTTTCCTGAGACAAGACAATTCCTTGCTCTAGGTTGAACAAGAATGGCCTTTCTCCCTCCTGCATGTCTCCAGCTGGGGCTTTGCTGGGAGAGGCCGGGCAGGAAGCGGGTGTGTACAATGGCTGGTTGGGAGAGCCCTGGATGTGGGGAAGGTGTGGTGGAGAGGGTGCCTGAGCACTGATGGCATCTGCAGTGTGTCAATGACAACGCCCTGGGTTGTATGTTCCTGGCACCCCTTTGGGCTCAGGGTACCACTTAGAGGTGCTCAACTTCCCGGATGGCCTAGTACTGCTGCCCTCCCTGGCCAGGCGAGGTGATGTTTGTTCCACCCTTCCCCAGGGCCTCCTTTCATCGTTTCCCCTCCCGAGAACATCACCGTCAACATATCCCAGGATGCTCTGCTCACCTGCCGTGCAGAGGCGTATCCCGGCAACCTCACCTACACCTGGTACTGGCAGGATGAGAACGTCTACTTTCAGAAGTGAGCACCCTGCTCTGACCTTCTCACAGGGGCTGCCCTGTCTCCCGGGGCAAGGCTCTGGGCAGGAACTGCATGTGTGGGCTTTGTGACCAAAGCAGTGTTTGGTGTGGGTGCTCCCATGCTAAGACTAGAGTCTCTGTGCAGTGGGACACTGCAAGAGGGACCCTGGGAATGCTGGGGTGCAGGGGCTTTTTGTCACATCTAGGGGAGGGGTAGGCAATTTTTACCACATTACTGTGGTGTCTGCAGCAAGGTCCTTCTCCTACCTGCTGACACCCCTGCCCTCCCATCTTCTTGCTGGCTTTGCAGTGACCTGAAGCTGAGGGTGCGGATCCTGATTGATGGGACCCTGATCATCTTCCGGGTGAAACCAGAGGATGCGGGGAAGTACACCTGTGTCCCTAGCAACAGTCTGGGGCGCTCCCCCTCTGCCTCGGCATACCTGACGGTGCAGTGTGAGTAGGGGTATGAGAAAGCTGGTTGGTGGGGTTCCAGAAGGTTCCGGTTACATTAACTGGACTGCAGGCTGGGGGGCAGCAAAGATCAAGTATCATTCAAGGGAACAGGGGTGGGGAAATGAATGAGGGGAAGAAGGGACAGCTTTGAGAGGAAGTCAAGGCCTGGGAGGGTCATAGGGTGACCTGTCACTTGCTGGGCATCTTCTGTGGCCAGGCCTCCTTGTGTGTCGGCCAGTTCATCTCATCAGCTAAGCTCAGATTGGGTTCAGGTAAAGCAGACCCTTTGAGCAGCTGTCTCCCTGAAAAGTTGTCCTTGGGCCCAATGCTGGCTAGCCCCTGTGTACCTTGAAGGGGTTGCTCTCTGGTGCTGTTCCTTGGGCCTCTGAGGGCTTGTAGCCCAGAGCCTGTGCAGGGTTGAGTTTCCCACCAGCCACACCTCCTGCTGTGGCATGCTGGGCCAGGGCAAGAGGGCCCTCTTCTGGAGTGACTCGATCCAGCTCCCACACTCACTCCCTCTCACTTCCTTGGCCTCTTCTCTAGGGTTGCTGAGACCCAGATGAATGAACTGTTCCTCACCCAAGAACAATCGAGGGCTTTTGTGTTGGCACGATCATTCAGTTTGCTAATCTTTAATATTGAGCACAGTTGGTTGCTTTCCCGCCCCTGGCAAGCTGAGCATTGTGTGTGTGTGTGTGTGTGTGTGTGTGTGTGTGTGTGTGTGTGTGTGTGTGTGTAGGGGGCGGGGGAGAGACAGAGACAGAAACAGAGACAGACAGACAGCAAGAGAGAGACAGAGAAGGATGAGTAATGGGGATTAATGTCTTCCTTTTGATTTGTGGATGGCCCCGTCACTCAGGCAACAAGGGCCCCCTGTTGCTGCTGTAGGTGGCAGACTCCGTCATTTGTGAGCTGGTGTGGGAGGATTGCTCACACTCAGGGACAGGGAGTGGCAGAGGTGAGAAGTAGAACAGTCTGGAGACACAGCCCGGGGTCAGCATGCAAGCTGAGGACGAGCAGAGGAGCAACTGGTGGCCCCTGGTGACCCTGGAGGCAGAGATTGTCTGACTACTGCCCAGAGCTGGGTATGGGTGTGTCCACCATTGCGTGGTCACATTGACGGAGCTGGGCTGGGCCTGTTGAGCCCCGTCCAGCCCCAGCCTCACGTTTTCATCGTTTTCTCATCACCATGGAGTGCATCACACCTCTGCTTCCACTGTCAACCACTGACAGGGACCTATAGCATGCTCCAAGCCTTCACACTGTCATGAGGCCCAGGACCTCAGGTGTAGCCCACTGAGCTGCAAAGGGAAAAAGCAAGTCACAGAGTCATTCGTAAGTGACTTAGGATGTGCTAAGCTGTGCTGGAGCCGGAGAGAACTGCAGGGAGGAGAGAGTCCTCTACCCCAGAGGAGTATCCGTCTCTCAGGGCTGGGCACAGGCTGTGCCACCTGGGCAAGAAAGTGGCTGAGGTGGTACAGAAGGAGCCACCAAAGGTGGCCTTCAGAATGAGGCCCTGTTCTTGGGGCCATGGCCACTGTCTGTTGGGAGACATGCTTGGGTTTCCCTCATCTCTCCCTGATGCCAGCGCCACCACCCACTCCCCCTTGTCCTTTTTTGCCTCCTCCCTGCCTTCAAGAAAATCCAGGGGGTTGAGATTTACAGGTGGGTGAGACAAGGATCTTTGTTTCTGCTAAAAAGCAATGTTCAGAGTTTTCCCATTCATAAACCCTTCGAAAACCTTGGAGGGAAAAAAAAACAACTCTACCATACAAAAGTAGGAAGCTCTGTCTAAATATATAACTCGGCCTGGTATTTATGTAACGTTGTTCTCTGAAGAGCTCAGAACGCTTAAAAGACACCCACTCATTCATCCTTGTTGCTTCCCTGTTCTGGATGCTTCTCCGTACCCTCAGGGGAAATCACAGAGAACCAGAGGAGGTGCCTCAGCCCACATCATAGGAGGTGCCGGCCTCTTGTTGCTCCCTGAGAGCCTTTCACCTATTCTGTGGTCAGAGTTGATTCTGCATTTCTTTCATTTTTAAAGACAGAGTCTCACTCTCACCCAGGTTGGGGTGCAGTGGCACAATCATAGCTCACCACAGCCTCAAACTCTTGGGCTCAAGCAGTCCTCCCATTTCAGCCTCCCAAGTAGTTGGGACTACAGATGCATGCCACCAAGCCCGGCTAATTTTTAAAAGTTATTTTTTGTAGAGTTGGGGGTCTCACTGTGTTGCCCAGGCTGGTCTCAAACTCCTAGCCTTAAGCTATCCTCCTGCCTTGGCCTCCCAAAGTGTTGGGATTACAGGCGTGAGCCACTGCACCTGTCCTAATTCTGTGTTTCAACTGCAGAATAAGATGGGGAAACTGAGGCCTAGGAAGGCTGGACAACTAGCAGAATGGAGAGAAGAAGAAAATACCTCGCCACTGCTGTGGCTCCACGTATGCATAAAACTTATGCATAGAACTGACATTATTCTTTTGGCTTAGGATGTAAAGTAGAGGTTGAACTGCTTGCTGCCCAAGAGAGACTTTGAGATAAGGCTTGTTTGGGGTAGGGTGTGGGCCAATGTTGGCTTTGAGGCTCGAGGTCTAGGAACTGAGGGCAGTGGACATCGAGAACCCTCCCCTGATGGGTAAAGTTCATATGGGAGCGTTTGAGGAACATGCAGGTAGGGTGGGCTAGGCTTGGGCCTCCAGGTATTTGGAACAGAAGTTCCAAGTGTCTGGGCTCGTGTGCGGGCTGTCTCCATCTGGCTTCCTCACTTGGCTTCTTTGTGTCCGTCTTCTCTCCCACCTGCACTGTCCTCTACAGACCCAGCCCGTGTCCTCAACATGCCCCCTGTAATTTATGTGCCCGTGGGAATCCATGGCTATATCCGCTGCCCTGTGGACGCAGAGCCACCGGCCACCGTGGTCAAGTGGAACAAGGACGGCCGCCCCCTGCAGGTCGAGAAGGTGCTAGAGAGACGCATGGTGGGCTCAGAGCGAGAGGCACCCTCTTGGCACTGAGATGCCACTTCTGGGGTCTGGTTTTCTGCCAGGACTCCTCGCCCTGCCAAAAACTCTGGGAAAACAGAGCTGCTTCTGGAGGGGTCCATGGTCTCCCAGGGAATGTAGACAACGCCCGCCCTGGGTGGGGGCTGGTGATTTGTTCCAAGTTCTGTCTGGCCCAGATGGGATCCAGCCTGGGGCTGGGGGACGGGGTGGAACCTTGGCTCCCTGACTAGTGCTCCCCCTGTCCTCTGTGTCTGGCAGAACCTAGGTTGGACCTTGATGGAGGATGGTTCTATTCGAATTGAGGAGGCCACAGAGGAGGCTCTTGGCACTTATACCTGTGTGCCTTACAACACCCTGGGGACCATGGGCCAGTCTGCTCCCGCGCGGCTTGTCCTGAAGGTGAGGCCCAGGACTGGGAGCCCTCCATGAGCCTGGCACGTGAACCCCGACTCCATGAGTGTGCCTGTGTGCTCCTCTCCAGGATCCCCCGTATTTTACGGTGCTACCAGGTTGGGAGTACAGGCAAGAGGCTGGCCGGGAGCTGCTCATCCCCTGTGCGGCTGCCGGGGACCCCTTCCCCGTCATCACATGGAGAAAGGTACCTGGAGTCTGGAGCTCCTGGGGCCACGGGGGCAGAAGTGAGGCCCTGTGGCTGGTCCTGTTCTGGACCTGCTTAGACCAGGTTGGGCGCCAAGCAGCGAGGGGCCCTTCTGGAGCAGTTGGTGCTCTGGAGGAGGAATGGAGGCAGGAGGTGGGCCGAGGGCTCAGGGGTCGCCCTCTCCTCATCCACTCTTCACCCTGAGGTTTCGGTGGGTTCTTTCCTCACCTCTGTTTCTCTTCCTGCCCCTCTTTCCTGCCTCCTCGTTTGGCCAAGGTAGGGAAGCCCAGTAGAAGCAAGCACAATGCCCTGCCCAGCGGGAGTCTCCAGTTCCGCGCCCTGAGTAAGGAGGACCACGGGGAGTGGGAATGTGTCGCCACCAACGTGGTCACAAGCATCACTGCCAGCACCCACCTCACCGTCATCGGTACGTGGCCAGCAGTGGGGCAGAGAGCAGGCCGGCTAGGGGTGGGTACAGGATGCTGGGGCATTCTCTGGTGACCAGCAGCACTCTGTGGCATCTCCTAAGAAAGTTCAACCCTGAGCCCGAGGTCTAGCACGTGTAGCCCTTGCCCCCGTGGGCTCTGTAAGGGAAAGCCAGCATGGCTCCCAACCTCAGCAACCCACCTGACACAGAAGAACAACTGTGTGGCTAGGAGGAACTGTGGAGATTCTGGGTTTCAGGGCCATGGGAAAGCCAGGGGGGTGGAATAAGGGAGAACGGAGCCTGGCAGCATCTTGGCGGGGGGTGAGGGGGGGCACTGGGCTAACACCTGGGGCCAGGCCCGGCATGAGGAGACTAGGGCAGGAGGAAGTTACTGGGGTTCCCATTTCTGGTGGCTGGAGGAACGTGTGTCCCGACCTCAGCCTGTCCCCTTACAGCCTGTCCTTTGGGTCCTGACAGTTGTAACAGTCTCAGCCAACACTTTTTGAGGCTTTGCCACCAGTTTTAGGCTCTGTGCCAAGTGGGCTGCACACCTCCTCATTCCCAGTCCAGCACGTGGGAGCTGGCGTTCCTCCAGTCTCTGTTCATTGCAACTGAGGCTGGTGCGACCTGAACACCCTCCCCGTGGTTCCATCACTACGAGGTGGTGGTTCTGGGACTCAAGGCCAAGTTGAAGTTCTTAGCTGTTGTGTTGTGCTGCCTCTTATGCTGGCGCTGGGGTGGAATATGGCTTTCTTGTGAGGCTGGAGAACTTTGTGAGAGGGGACACTTTGGCTTTCCTGGGACCTTAGGAGAGATTTCTAAGCTTGCCTAGTGAGCATAGGATTTGAGCCCAGGGTGAGGAGGGTGCTGGGTTCCCATGGGCTCGTCCCTGATGCTCACACGGTCTCCTGCTGGCCGAACTACACTGCAAGTCAGAAGGCTCCCTTCACCAGCCCTGCCCACAGTAGGCACAGGGGAGCTTGCCCCTAGGTGTGTCCCCTCACCCTTGTCTCCTGTGGCATTGCACTTTGCTGCAACATGCTTCGGCCTCTGGGGTCCCCACAGCAGATTCCGGGCACCCAGCAGCGGGGCTTGGTGCCTTTCAGTCTGAGAGGTCTCCACTGGGTCTCCAGGCACCAGCCCCCACGCCCCGGGCAGTGTCCGGGTCCAGGTCTCCATGACAACTGCCAACGTGTCCTGGGAGCCCGGCTATGACGGAGGATACGAGCAGACATTCTCAGTTTGGTACGGACCTCTGTGAGTCACCCCCGCATGCTTTGCTCTCTGCTTCTCCCCGCCCCGCCCCGACTGTGGCAGTCCTGGGTGGGGGAGGGGAGAAGGGCATGTTCCTGGCCCTCCAGACCCACACACAGTGAGGTGGGGCCAGGCGGTGACTAGGTTCTTGTGGGTGACAAGTGAAGTCTGCGAGAGGCTCTTGGCCTGGCTGGGAGTCCCCAGGCCTGCAGACGGGGGCTGCCTGTCTGGGCTGTGGCCTGAATTGTCCAGGACTCTCTGCTGCCCTCTCCTGGCTGACCAGACTGCCCCCGTTTTGTGTCCTGCTTCCTTCTTCCAGGTTCCTCTGTCCTCTGGAGTCCGGAAGAGACTCCAAGTCTTCAGGGGCTTTGTGAAATAACCCAGCCTGGAGAGTAGAGTCTAACTTTTATTCTGTCCCTTCCCTGGTGGTCTCAGAAACCAGTGTGGAGAGGGGATACCCACCTTCCTGGCCTTGGCTTCAGCATCTGTGTCTCTCTCTAGAACCGTGTGTTTCCCTGTTTTTTTATTCTTCTTTTGTTAATTTAGCCAAATGCAGTGGTTTGAGATCTTACAAAGATCTCAAACCTTAGGGTAGGCAGAGATCTCAGAAATGCACAGCCCAGGGTGATGATAGGGGGCACAGGAAAGGAGGACATAAAAGCCCAGCTGACCTCCCTCCCTTCACCCTACTCTCTCCCCACTCTCCTGGGTCACGGGCCTCATGGTTGACACCCTTGAGCAGGAGGATGAGCACCTTCACTCACCTGTGTGTGCTCCCAACCAGGCTCAACCAGAGTCTAGGGAGGACGAAAAACCAGATTCCAGGGGAATCCCTGAAGGGATTCATGGAAACCCCTTCATATACTCCCAACTGCAAGAGAAGTTTGGGAGGACACCTACTGTCTCCCCTAGTGACTGCATATCCCTGGATTTCTGAGTTTGGGATGGGTGAACAGCACCTAGGTGGCAGGAGTTGCAGCCAGAAAACCCTCCCCACGTCTCTTCCTCCTACAGCAGGCACAGGAGGCTCCTGGCACACCTGTCTAGTGGCCCCTGCAGAATAGTGGTGCTGCCAGGTGGCTGCGTGGCCCAGGGAGGGGCATGTGGCATGGCCGCGCTGCCCCTGAGAAGTCTCAGTGACCGGTCTGGGCCTATGCTGAGGGCTGCAGGAGTCTAGCGGGGTCCCATGCCACCTGTGGCACCGCCCCACGCTGCTGCTCATCTGCATTGTGCTGCCCTACCTTGCTCCCTGCTTTGTGCCCTGGGTGGGGGAGGGCAGTGCCAAGGTTGGGGACGTCGTCTCTTTCCTTTGTGACTGCCTCTCACTCTTTGTGTACTGACTCAGACATCTGGTGCTAGCTTCTTTTTGCTATGCTTTCCGCTGCCTCAGCTCACCCTCCTGGCATACACCGTAGTGAGCCTTTAAACCTGGAGGGGAACCCGGTGGGCATCCAACCAGCATGTCAGGAGAAGGTCCTCCCACAGCGCAATGTCTCCCCCCTGTGGTAATCTGGCAGTACTGCACCTGCAGCCAGCCGGCTTCATTGCCTATTGGGCACTGGGGGGCTGCAGAATAAGGGAAAACCCTCACCTCTAGTTTTGTGTTCTCCAGGCACAGCATGACCTTCTTCTTGATTGTGATCTGTAACCTTTAAGGTCTTAGGGATCCTGGCCCCACTGTGGGGAGACCCCATTCATTTTGTGATACACTTGGATATCCTCAGATGACCTGAGTCTGGTTGGACTAAGTGAGCTCTGTGGGTTACTCTGAGTCCCACTTTGGCTGTCCCTGGGGTGTGTGCAGCCAGGGTCACCTGGGTTCCTTCCCTGGCCCTGTCATTGCTGAGCTGCTCATCTTCATTCTCTAGTGTCCTTGCTCTCCCAAGGCAGAGTCCACTTTTAGTGTTGTGACTAGGGTGGGATATCCCATGATGCAACTGGCAACGAATTTAACTGACATCCTGAGTAAGACTTTCACCTAAAGCCCCTTTCAGTAGAGGAGGGACTGGCTGTGGTTGGTGACCCGGCATCCTGAGGGTCAGCACAACCAAAACTGTCACCCACCCTTGGCCGTTCCCTCTTCCTGCCGGTGAACCTGAGGACGCCAGGTCCACTCACCGCCTTCTCCTTGAGCGCACCTTGCCTGTACTCTCTTCTCTCCAGTGTAACCCACCCTACCCCTTGTCCCCCATCCTCTCTCTTTCTTTTGGCCAGGATGAAGCGGGCACAGTTTGGGCCCCATGACTGGCTATCCTTGCCAGTGCCGCCGGGACCCAGTTGGCTGCTGGTGGACACCCTGGAGCCTGAGACAGCATACCAGTTCAGTGTCCTGGCTCAGAACAAGCTGGGAACCAGCGCCTTCAGTGAGGTGGTCACTGTGAACACTTTAGGTGAGGATCCGGGCTGGTGTGTCTCGAGGACATGGGCTGGGCAGAGGTGGAGAGGTTGGTGACCGATGCAGCTCACACTGTGGCCTCTTGTGTGCTAGGCCTCTGCAGTTGGATCTCCCAACAAGATTTGTCAGACCCAGTGCGGGTTTGCCTAGTCCCACATCAGGGCACTGTTGGCCGGACTCTGGTTGCATTTGTAGATGGGAGAAGGATGCTCAGCCTTACATTCTTCCATGCCAGACTTCATATCTGCAATTTCTGCAGAGGCAGGGGTGACTGGAGTCTTTATCCCTGCCAGCTCTTTCTCTGGGCCCAGCCTCATTCCAGGCAGGGCGTGTGGCTGCTGTTCGCTGTGGAGCCTTCTGGGACGTGCCTGTGCTTCCTTCCGGGACCCAGCTGCTCTGTCCTTCTGCCTAGCTGTGGCAGTGTTTGCGGTCCTCTGAGGCAGGGAAGGCTGCCGTGAACAGGCTCTTCCTGGGGGAGTGGGTGGCGCAATGCCAGCTGTTCCCAGAACTGCTCCTGAGCTGTCGCCACAGTGCGCAGTGGGTAGGATGCTACCCCCAGCTCTCGGTGCCTCTGTGGGGCCTCATTTTATCCCCTGGGCCTAGATGGGAATTTAGAGTGGCCAGTGTGCCATGAGAAGAGAGCCCTAACTCCTTGGAGGACACGGAAGATATTTTGATTACATTCAGCTCTTCTTGTTCCCTATATTTCCTGTGTTTTCCCCCGTGAGGTACCCGATTCCCCTTGGGTGTTCCTTTGCATTGCTGTGAAGACAGCACAGAGCCCTGACTCTGAGTCCCTCTCTCTCCTGACATGATGTGTGCACAGGAATGGGAATGTCGCAGCTGCCCTGAGATCCCTGCCCTCCTATGGGTGGGATGCTGTGGCGACCTGGGCGCTCCTGACACCTTCTTCCTCTCCCTCCCTGCCGCAGCATTCCCTATTACAACTCCAGAACCCCTGGTGCTGGTCACCCCACCGAGGTGCCTCATAGCCAACCGGACTCAGCAGGGTGTGCTCCTGTCCTGGCTCCCCCCCGCCAACCACAGCTTTCCCATTGACCGCTACATCATGGAGTTCCGCGTCGGGGAGCGCTGGGAGATGCTGGACGATGCCATCCCAGGCACCGATGGGGACTTCTTTGCCAAGGATCTGTCACAGGTGAGAGCTTTGCTTTTCCTTGCTATTCCTTCCCAAATTCTGGTGGTAATACAACTCCAGAGCCATCCTAAGCTTTGCATGACCAACTTGGGTATTTGAGGTCATGCCATGTACCACACTCCTGGGCTTTCCCAGACCCACTACCAAGGCTTGGACGTCTCAGGTCATGGTCACTGAGGTCCCTAAGATTCAGGGCCAGCTTGGTAGCGCTGGAGACTCGTGTTGTACTGAGGGTTTTCCCAAGCACAGATGCAAGCTGGGCAGGCCTAATCAGCTCCTTGCTGGGCTTCATGGGGGGAGGGTGGGGGGGGGGTGAGAGGTGAGAGAGGAGTGGACAGAAGAAGTCCTGGAAGAACTGTCTTCTAGGTCTGTCCAGGGAAGGCCCCTCCTTTCACAGTCTGGAGTCCCTAGAGGAAGATGCATCTTCTGGGTGCCCAGCTGACCCCTTTAGCTTGTATAGCTAGCTGGAGGGAGGAAGCAGTTGTTTCAAAAGTACAGGCAGCCTCATCCATCTTTCTTTCTTCCTGGACACTTATTAGTGGGGTGCCAAAGTCATCTCCCAGTGGCGCCAGAGAGCCCACTGTGCATATCTCAAGACCTCACATTTGTAGCTTGAAATCAGCCATGGCGGGAGTATTTACTGCACAGCTGGCCCAGTGCTACCAGCTACTTACCATCAGTACTCCAGTGCTTTGGGTGTCTTATTCCTTGGAAGGCCATGTGTAGGATCATAGCTGGTGGGGGCAGGGATCGTCTCAGGTCCCTTGGCTGATTGGGTGTTGTCCCTGGGGCTGTAGGACACCTGGTACGAGTTCCGGGTTCTGGCCGTCATGCAGGATCTGATCAGCGAGCCCAGCAACATCGCCGGTGTCTCCAGCACAGGTACTTTGGGTTGGAAATTCTCTGACAGCAATAGGGACCTAAGCCCTAGAGCCATGTAGGAGGCCCTTTGTGGAATAGCTAATCTAGGAGGAGAGGCCGGACTGGAAACTCAGGAAGTATCTAGTTGCAACTGCATGAGCTGTGCCTTTCTTAAGTCCACAGATCCATGCTTCTGTGATGTGTGGCATTTTACCCAAATCAGGGGCGGGGTTTCTGATACTCCTGTAAGAGAGCTGCAGAAAGAAATTCTTCTCATTGTAGCTAGTCAGAAGTAACTAACCTGACTTTAGTGCTATCTGCTATACCATTTTGGTTTCTTCTCATGCTATGCTCTGTAATAGGAGTGGGGCAGTGAATTGGAGGAAGGAGACAGCAGGTCAGCAAAGACTTATTGAAGGCCTGTTATTGACTTCTTTACAATTATGTGGGTTTTGGTTGGAAAATTGTTGTTTGGTATTGTTTCCCTCCCTCCCTTCCTTCTTTCTAGATGTTTTTCAGGTGAGATAAAGCCAACTCTTTAGTGTTTTCTTCATTTATCTTTCCTACTCTGGGTCCTGGTCTTATTTCTATACATCCTCTCTCCAGCTGTAGTTCCTGAGACATAGCAGGTCCCTTTTTAAGTGAAGGGGCGTCCTTGGCATAACAAGAGGCTCTTGCTTAGTAAGCAAGCAGTGGCGCCATTTTCCCAGGTGCTGTTAACCCAGGGACCCCTGTGGCCAGGGGCAAGGATCTTGGCCCTTGAAGCTGGTGCGGTAGGACTCATAGAATTGCAAGAGTGAGGTGAGGGTGGGCCAGGGGAGGGCCAGAGTGGAGTGAGGGCAGGGGCCAGCCTGGAGTGATTTATGTCATCAGGTGCCGGTGGGCTTTTTAAAGGCAGACTTGTGTCCTACAGGCAGCAGAACCCAGAGTACTTGTGTCTTGGCTTCTCTTCAGGGAAGAGACTTAGAGAGCTGGAGGAACAGGGAGGATAGCTTGCAGCCAAGGCCAGAGTATTAGACTCGAGCATTCCAGGGGTTTATCCCAGTGGATTTCTCTGTGCTCAGCATCCTATGTCTGGCTCCCAGAAGGGAACATGCCTTGCCACACCATTCTACGGAGGAGGGACGAGGATGCAGCCACCTCAGTGTGCCTTGCATTTAGGGCCCCCATTTCTGAAGGCCATTTTCTACTCAACCAATCCACATAATTCGGATTGTTTTTATCCATTGTTATTATTGACATAGCAATGAGTTCTGACCAAATATATCACCATATATTGATTTTGTCTTTGATGATCCTTAAGAGTGGCACTTACTGATATAACTTTCCTATAATACGGTAGGCTGGGTCGAGCCTTGCCTCTGCCACTGACAAGCTCTGAACTTGGGCATGAAGGGAGGAGGTTCAGTTTTTTTTTTACTGTCAAATGAGAGAATTGGGCCCACCTTTGCCATTCCTGCCAGCCAGTGCTCTTCTGTATTGGAGATAACTGGGCTGTGATAATCTTCCCTGTAGGAAGGTGCATGCATGTACTGTAGGGGTTACAAATAGGTGGGCCTGAACTCTGTAGTAATAATCCCTCTTCTGCTGTAGGACTTTACCCTCAAGACATCTTCACACCTGGGCTCTCCCTCTGCAGCGATAGCATGGTGACAGGCAGGACAGCAGAGTAGCCAGCTTCGGTTTGGGCACTGCCAGCAATGTCTGCTCAGTCAGCCCCTCCAACTCGGCAAAGCAGAGTTTTCTTGTTTACCGAATGAGAACGATATGTGTGTTCTATCTCACGGAGTTAATGTGAGAAGATCTGATAGCATGCATGAAAGTCCTTTGTACAATGTAAAGCACTAGACAAATATAGATGACTGTTGAAATAATGATCCCCATGGGGAGGAGGCATAGGCATTTTTTTTCTTCACAAGATGTGTAGAGGTGACTCGACTTCTGTAGCCTGCCCCTACTTCTCCCTCTTCATGATGCCATGCGAGTCTCACAGTGCTGGAGTTGAGTGTGTAGCCTGAGACCGAATGCAGAGGCAGGTGGAAGGCCAGGTGGGGACTGAGTGTCAGAGCTGGCGGGTGGGGCATGGGGAGGTGGGGCTCACGAGTGCTTCCCACCCTCCTTGCAGACATCTTCCCGCAGCCGGACCTGACTGAGGATGGGCTGGCACGGCCCGTGCTGGCCGGAATCGTGGCCACCATCTGCTTTTTGGCAGCTGCCATCCTGTTCAGCACCCTGGCCGCCTGCTTTGTCAACAAGCAGCGCAAGCGTAAGCTCAAGCGCAAAAAAGGTGGGTGTGAGTCCCTCCTCGCACTCTCACTGGCCTGGCTTCAGATGCTCCCCGTCAGGAGAGATGGACCATTTTTAGTCTGGCCCCCTTGGGAAACAGGGAAATTGGGATCCTGTGATAGGGTTTCCACTGGGATTTGATTGGAAGGAGGAAGTAAGGAAGCAGGGATGGTGGGCAGAGGTGGATGTGGCCCGGACCAGCACGAAGGTGGGTCTTGGACCAGGTGAGTCATGGGCATGAGGATGCTGAGCAGCTTTTGGCTTAGCCTCAGTGGCTAAGGTCCTTTCTTTTTCCTTTCAGACCCTCCACTCTCTATCACTCACTGCCGGAAGAGCCTTGAGTCGCCGTAAGTATCTCTGACTCTGGAGAACCATGCGTTGGCTGTCGTGGTGGGGGGTGGCCACGGGCAGACAGCTTGCCTCACCCAGCCCCCTGTCAGTGTTTTCAGTGTTTCTAAGCTGCTTACTGCTAATTGGCCTGCGTGCTACTTTTGAGTTGTCCACACTGATAAAGAGAGTGATAGCGTAGATGATCCAAATTGGCGGGTAATCTGTTTCGCTCTAGCCTGAGCACGTGTTTCTTTCATTTTCTCCGTACTGGCAGATTTGCCTTCTTAGCATGTGTTGCTTACGTTGGTGCTGCAGGGCACGGGTGTTTACTGAACAGCCTGGGAATGATGCTGGAGATGGGCTTAGAGCATGCCAGAGAGGGATCAGGCCAGGATAGGGGGAAGGGGATGTTGCTCAGAGGAGGGTAATTCACGTCCTGACAGTGGAGAGTGGCCAGGGGACTTCATGTCAAGACATGTAGCGGCGTTCTTCAGCGTGATCCTCCTAGGCGCCAGTTGTTGTCTGTTGAGGGAAGGAAAGGAAATCCTGGGCTGGTGTGCACCCACCTCACCCACTCCTGCTCTTGCTCCTGCCCACAGCTTGTCCTCTGGCAAGGTGAGCCCCGAGAGCATCCGCACACTCCGGGCCCCATCAGAGTCTTCCGATGACCAGGGCCAACCCGCGGCCAAGAGGATGCTGAGTCCCACCCGGGAGAAGGAGCTGTCCTTGTACAAGAAGACCAAGAGGGCCATCAGCGGCAAGAAGTACAGCGTGGCCAAGGCTGAGGCCGAGGCGGAGGCCACCACCCCCATCGAGCTCATCAGCAGAGGCCCCGACGGCCGTTTTGTGATGGACCCTGCCGAGGTGGAGCCCTCGCTGAGGACCAGGCGCATTGAGGGCTTCCCCTTTGCCGAAGAGACAGACATGTACCCCGAGTTCCGCCAGTCGGACGAGGAGAACGAGGACCCGCTGGTGCCCACATCTGTGGCCGCCCTGAAGTCCCAGTTGACTCCTCTGTCGTCTAGCCAGGAGTCCTACCTGCCACCACCAGCATACAGCCCTCGGTTCCAGCCCCGTGGGCTGGAGGGCCCCGGCGGCCTGGAAGGTCGACTCCAGGCCACGGGCCAGGCCAGGCCCCCCGCCCCCCGGCCCTTCCACCACAGCCAGTACTATGGGTACCTCAGCAGCAGCAGCCCTGGGGAGGTGGAGCCGCCCCCGTTCTACGTGCCAGAAGTGGGCAGCCCCCTGAGCTCCGTCATGTCGTCCCCACCCTTGCATACCGAGGGGCCTTTTGGCCACCCCACCATCCCCGAGGAGAACGGAGAGAATGCGTCTAACAGCACACTGCCCTTGACTCAGACGCCAACAGGAGGGCGCTCCCCTGAGCCCTGGGGCCGGCCGGAATTCCCGTTTGGGGGCCTGGAAACCCCAGCCATGATGTTCCCCCCTCAGTTGCACCCCTGCGATGTGGCCGAGAGTCTGCAGCCCAAGGCTGGCCTCCCCCGAGGACTGCCCCCCACCTCCCTCCAGGTGCCCGCAGCCTACCCAGGCATCCTGTCTCTGGAGGCACCAAAGGGATGGGCGGGCAAGTCGCCTGGCAGGGGTCCCGTCCCAGTGCCCCCGGCCGCCAAGTGGCAGGACAGACCTATGCAACCTCTGGTGAGCCAAGGGCAGCTAAGACATACCAGCCAAGGTATGGGCATACCCGTGTTGCCTTACCCCGAGCCGGCTGAGCCGGGGGGGCATGGCGGCCCCAGCACATTTGGCCTGGATACCCGGTGGTACGAGCCCCGGCCCCGGCCCAGCCCCCGGCAGGCCAGGCGCGCCGAGCCCAGTTTACATCAAGTGGTGCTACAGCCCTCCCGGCTCTCACCTCTGACCCAAAGTCCCCTCAGTTCCCGCACCGGCTCCCCTGAGCTTGCTGCTCGTGCCCGGCCCCGCCCGGGCCTCCTGCAGCAGGCGGAGATGTCGGAGATCACTCTGCAGCCACCGGCCGCAGTCAGCTTCTCTCGAAAGTCCACGCCGTCCACAGGCTCCCCTTCCCAGAGCAGCCGCAGTGGGAGCCCCAGCTACCGACCTGCCATGGGCTTCACCACCCTGGCCACGGGCTACCCTTCCCCTCCGCCGGGCCCCGCTCCTGCTGGGCCTGGGGACAGCTTGGACGTGTTTGGACAGACGCCTTCCCCCCGAAGGATGGGGGAGGAGCTGCTCCGACCAGAGCCCCCACCACCCACGTTACCACCTTCAGGGTGAGTGTGCGCTGCCTCCCTTGCCCCCTGCACCCGGTCAACTCCTCCCCACATGCCTTGCCCTGCCCTCTACCCGTCCATCCACCCAACGACAGGGCTTGTTTGGACATGCTGCACCAGCATCCCTTGGGAGAGGAGTTCTGGCCATTGTGGCATTGGCAGGGTGTAGGCTCTGGGGTGGGGTGGGGCTTATCTGCCCAGGTACCCTGCCAGGAGCTTGAGGGATCTTCACACCCAGCCCGGAACTTTCAGCATGCCCACAGCATACTGGGAAGTGGGCACACCTGCGAAACGGGTGGCATGGTGTGTCAGAGCAAGTGGCCTTGTTGAGAGGTCACCCAGGTCCCTCTTGGAGTTGAGGGCTTGCCACATCCCTGTGGTCCTGGTATTGGACAGTGGTCCTGGGCTTGCCCACAGACCTTATGTCCAGCCTCCTTTTCTTCCCTGGCCACTCCTCCTTGCTAAGCAGGAACCTGGAGTCTGATTTCCCTGGACCACCAGGCCAGAGGCCTCCAGTTCCCAAACTTCTGCCCCTTATCACCCCTAGTGAGCGCCGAAATCAGCCCCCTCCACAGCCTCTTCTGGAGGCATGGAGAAAAGTCTCAGACCTTGTGACCTTGTGCGGGAGCCACACCCCTATTCCACCTGTGTGCCTCGCAGGAAGCTGCAGAGAGACAGACAGACAGACACGCTCCCGCGATCAGCCCGCCTGGGAGAGCACTCTCTAGACTGTGGCAGCTGGTGTTCCAGGTACCAGAGCCTGGACACCTACCCGTGCCTCTTCTTCTCTTGTCTTTCCTCCCTGCCCTCCTCCTCCTCCTTTCCTTTCTTCCCCAATCTCCTTTGTCTCTGCCTCTCCTTTCTTCTTCATTGTCTTTGGGTTGACCTGACCTGCTCAGAGGAGCCTGCCACATCTCTGTAGCACCCCTGGATGCCCTCTCCCCTCCCCTATTTCTCTCTCTCTCTCTCTTTCTCTCTCTGGTTCCGTCCTTTGGTCTCTCTTCTTGATGTAGCCGCCTGTGGAGGGGAGCAGAGAGTTGCTGAGGAGGCTGGCCTGGTGGTAGGAAGGATGGGAGGTGGTTGAGGAGGAGGGAGCCTGGTGCTCTCCCCCTGCCCCCCCTGGAAGTGCAAGCTCACCTCCCACCCTCAGCCCCATGGGCTGCTCCCTGGAGGAGGGGTGGGCGTAGGGAGGCGGAGGAGAGCTCCAGCTGGGCCCCGCCTCTGTCTGTGCAGGAGATGCTGTCGTGGCAGCCCTGTCTCTGTGCTTTGTGCAGCGCGCTCATCTGCTTCCTTCCATCGTGCGTCTGGGTCTCCGTCTCTCTCCTCTCCCTCACCCATCCTCCGGCCTTGCCCGTTGGCTCACTTGCTGTGCTCCTTCCCTGCTTCCCTCTGGGTGTGCGTGGGCGGTGCCCCCCGGCTGGTGTTGATAACTGCTTTGTTTCTGATTGATCTCAGCTATCTGGGCAGTGTTGTCGAGACAAGCCTCTCCTCAGCTCAATAGGTAAGGGACTCCTGGGCTGGGTGGGCGGGGGCGGGCAGGCGGACGGGGCTTTGGCAGGGCCATCGCTTCCTGGACAGGGGTCCAAACCATGTCCCCTCACCGCCCTGTGGGGTGGCAGCTGCCACTCCTGGATCCCACGGCTTCTGGGTTCCCACATTGGGCCATGCTCGGCGCCGCCTCGCTGCAGCTTCTGGCCCCCACCCCCACATCTGGCCCCTCCAGAACCTCAGCAGCTCCCCTCACTTAAAGACACCTTGCCAGCCTGCTGCCCATACACCCAGGGCCTCCCACAGAAGCCCTGGGGCCTTGCATGACCTTGAGAGGCCCGGAGTGCCCCAGGATCTGCTTTGCATCTCTGCATTCTTGGATCTCTCCAGGGCCCCTCTGGTATCCAGGACCGCCCCCTCCCCTCCAGCCCTCTGTCCTGTTTCCCCAGCAGTCTTGGGCATAATGCCTCCTTCCTCCTCACTCCAAAGGCACTTCCCCTGGGACAGCTGGTCCCTCGCTGCCTTCTTGGGATCTTCAAGATATTAGGTTATCTCAAGAAGCACGATGTTGGGGTGTGGCTTCACCCACAGTCCTCTTGAGGCAAGGGCAGGGAGTTGTCACCACTTCCTTGTGCTCCTGCATTCTGCAGACCTTTCTTGTTGTCACAGGGCCAAAATGTGACCTCACCCTCAGGTCCAAATTGCTTTCAAGATCCCCGTCATGGGTCTTTAGGGAGAGGGTCTCAGGAGGACCTCCCCAGAGGGGGATAGCAGGCTTCCCCCACCCAGAGGGGCATAGAGTTAGCAAGAGGTAGAAACCTGCGTGGGTCAGCACTGTGTCCCTCCCTCTGCCTTGCCTCGGTTGGCCCCTTCTTGAACATCCTTCCAGGTGGTGGCCAAAGGCACTTGGGCATTTAAGGGGCCATCGATCTCTTAAAGAGACTTGGGCCACCGAGGCTCATTCTCTCTCATGGTGACCTAGGAAGGTGCTTCCTGCCATGAAGCCCATTGACCTTTTCTGGGAGCAAGCCAGTGTGGCACTGGCACCTAGATGGGAGAGAGCGAGGTGAGGAATAGCTGCCTCCTTTCCCCACCTGGAGATGTTCAGGAAGGCTGTTTTTCATAGCTAGCTCAGGACTATAAATCTCATTCTGTCATAAGTGTGGCCTCCTATAAAGAGGATTGCTTTGACATTTCTTTACGATCTGCAGCTATAAAATTGTTAACTGCCCAGAGGCCCTGGAATTGAGGGCAAAGCAGACTGGCATGGATGAAGCATGGGGCACCAGGCAGCATTTATGAACTTTCTTACCCCAGGGGCCTCCTGTGGCCAGAGACTAACTGGGCTGTCCTCCACCTTGCCCATTCTCCCTCCCTGTCTCCAGGTGGGACTCCTTCATGGTGCCAGGAGGTGTGAGAAACTCCCAGGACTCCATTCCCAAGTGATACTTCCACTCCCCTCGCTCGATTCTGTCATCACCCCCTTCCCCAGTGTCCCCACTGAGCCTGATCTGAGAGGACCCAGTTCTCCTGTCACTGCTGTGGCAAACCCAGAAACCAGGGGCAGGAATGAGGGACCACTGTAGATCCCTAGCCTAGGAGGACGAGCCCCTCCCCCATCCTCTGAGTTAGCCTCCCGGGTGCTGGGCAACAGGCACCTCTGCTCCTCTCCTGCTTGCTGAGCGCCTGCCTGGGGCAGAGTGCTGGGGCCATGGGAGACGGCAGGCTCCCCTTTAGACGCTGTCTTCATGCTGCGCCTTTGCATGTGTGTTGCCCTCAGTCTTGCTGGAGAAGTTGTGACACTTGTCTACGTCGTTCTTGCTGTTTCTTTTCTCTTCAGTTTCTCACCTGCTCCTTCTGCCCAAACCTGCGGCTGCTTCCCCTGCCTCTCCTCTTTCCTCTTTCCCTGTTTTCTCCTCTTCCCACCTCCCATCTCAACATGGGAGTTGTATTGCGTGGACCTGTGCTTTGCGTGGACCGTGGGGAGGCCGAGCCAACGCTCAGCTTTCCGTCTGAGCCTAGTAGCACCCTGTCCTCACACCTCCTTCTAGTTCCCTTTCCCATTGAGACCTTCTGGGACCTTGGTGAGACAGGGGGGTTGGGGAGCAAGGAGTGGCCCCTGAAATGGGTGGGCCAGAGGAGGTGCCCCTCTCTGACAACAAGCCTCTGACCTGTTCTGAGGCAGGGCATTCGGTCTGAGCCCTGACCCCACTGGAAGGGTTTCACCTTTCCAACCTGGTCAACTGGGTTGGCCCAGACCTCCAGGCTTCTAGACTGGGGCCACCTCTCCCCTGGCTACAGCTTGTACATGAGTGGGTTTCCTCTGCCTCCACCTACAGTATATAATCAGGCATGTGCAGTTTTCTCTCGGGCAGTTAGAAGGAGAGGAAGATGCTCTTGAAACCACTGCTTTGGCCTGTTGATGGGGTTGAAATAGCTCCTGGGGTGTTAAGGGAAAGAAATGTCTAGGTGTATTTCGCCTTTGCTCTCCTGAGGTTTGCTTGCTCTTTGAACCTGGCTGCATGTTTCTTCAGCTCCTCAGGGTAAGCAAAGAGCTAAGCAATTAAGGCCTCTTGGGCTACATGGGTGTGATCTGGGTTTCGTATGGGTTTTTTGAGAAGAGGGAGAAAGGGGAAAAAAGGGGGTGTTAAGGTAAATTCTAGGCAATTTTTGATGGTTCTGAACTGGGTCTACACTAACTTCCTGGGAGAAGGTGAGCAGTGTTCCTGTGTATTCTAGAAGAATGGAAGCTGACTGGAAAGAGAACTATGGCCTCAGCTTTTTGGAGAGCCGGGTTGGGTTCTGTTGCAACAAGGTCACCTACTGGTTAAACTCAGGTTTTCTCAACAGGGACTGGATGGAGTTGCTTCACTCTTGCTTCCTGAGACATCAGCATAAGTTTCATTACTGGAGGGGCTCCAGGCAGGCCTGTCATTGACAGGACACAGTCACCCTTTAAAAAGGGAGGATGTTGGAGGACTTTATGTGCTGCTGGCAGAGTCTGTTGGGGGCGCATTTCGTGTGTCTTTTCTATATAATGTGCCAAAAATACTCATTTTGCACCCCACCCCCATCCCGCCAGACATGTGCTTTAATTTTTTTCTCCTGCTTTATGTGAGGGTCTTGGTATATCCAGGAACCTTTTTCTGTCCTGTGGCTGTTTGAGCCCTAAGCCAACAGCTAAAACAGGTAGCCAGCAGGTGTCCTGGAGGGGCTGGAGCTTGGCTTGTTTCTCAAGGGAAATTGGTCTCTCCGCCTCAGTGGATCGTTACTGTTTGGGGATTTTTGCATGAAGCTATAACTTCAGCCTGTTTCTCCCCACCTTTGGTCTGTATTACCTGTCTGTCTCTGAAGCAGAGAATATCAGTGATTAGCTGCTAGTGCATTGCAGGGCAGGTCTGTTTCTCAGGTGTCGTGTGGATGCATGTTTTTCTTCGAGGTAGCTTCTATTCCTGTGTTTATGGGGAAGAAACTTGAAGAGCTATTTAGCCTCATGTTAAGGGTCTTGGCACTCTTCCATGATAACTGGATTATTGGACAAGTTGCTTAACCCTCCAAACTTCAGTTTTTTCTTCTGAAAAATAGTGACAGTATAGTATTTATCTTTTGGGGTTGCTGTGAAAATTAAAGCCAATTATTGTAGAGAACATAGGACAGTGCCTGCCATGGTAAGTAATAAATCAATAGTAGATGACAAAAATGTTACTCATAATAAGATGTTGGTTCTAATACACATTTCACCCCTGGAAGTTTCTCCTGGCTTGAGGAACCCCTAGAGATTGTTGGGGTACTCTGTGCAAGTTTCTTGCATGCCCTAGTGGGTCACCTGGATGATGCTAGAGAGCACTGTTCTTGCTTGTCACATGCCTCCAACCATACTTCGCTCAGCTTGTGTGGTCTTTCTGAAGAGGCTGGCCAGGACCAAGAGACAGAGATCAACTGAACAGGTGGCTTCATATTGATTTTTCTTTTAGGCAGCATGAAGATGCCTTAATCAAGGATGAGAAGGAGGTGAGGCCATTCTACCAGCATTGGGAATGCGTGCTCCCTCCCACCCTAGGCATCTCCACCCTTTGCCTTCCGAATTTCTCATCAGCTCCTGCTGCTGCTGTGGCATAGGATTTCTCTGGGTAGACTATAGGGCTTGTGAAAGAGGAAGGCATGGGGCATTGGCATGTTGGGTCTTTGGGGGTAGACCTGACTTCTGATGGTGAGTTGGACTACTTCTCCATGAGAGGTGTGTGTATCTGTGTACACGTGTAAATGACCATGTATGGGCTTCTTCGCTCTGCTGTTGAGGTTGTGGAAAATCCTGAACTTTGAGGGAGCTTCTTGATACTTTATGGACTGAAGGACTATAGCAAGATGACATCCCTCAAGGAAGATGGAGGTTACTTCATTGCCAATTAATGGAAGCCCCAGAGACCAGAGACTTATCTACAATTAGCCTGTAAGTCTCCGCCTCCTCCTCCCTACCAAGATATTTGATGTTGGGGAGAGGCTGCAGGTTCCCTTTCTGTTCTGCTAATGCTTTTTATTTATTTCTACCTCAGATTGCTTGCTGACCTTTGGGGACTTCTTTTGCCCTCACAGTGCCATCCATCCTAACTCTTTTAATCAGATTTCCCAAACTGACTGTGATGGAGATGGGAAAGGTGTGGGAGTTGAGGAGAGGAGGAGTGGGAGGCACGTCCTCCACTGTGGCCCTGGTGTGTCCCTGCTTCCCTGATCATGTGCTAATACCAGTGCAGGTGGGAAGACCTGTCTCTCTCTTTTCCCCTTTATTCCTCAGGCTCCAGGTGGGGCTTACTTTGAGAAGAAACAGCATTGATAATATGTTTTCTAGATTTTCTTCTTTTATAACTTGACAAATTCTCTCCAATATGTACAGAATGACACAGACCTCTCCTCCCAGCTGTCTGTCTCCCTTCGTGACCTGGGCTGCTATATGGGCTCCAGTCAACTCATTGACTGTGTCCTAACCATGCAGTCGATCCATTAGTCAGATGACAAAATCCATTTCACAATCAGGGTGGAGAAAGAAAGACCTGCATACATGGTCTCCTGTTTGACAACCTCCGTTTCTCTATTGAATCTTAAAATACAGAGATTCACCGGATTCTTGTTGCAGACTGCAAGGGCTTTGTGAGGCTGCCAGATCTGGACGCTCTGCTGTAATGTCCTGCCACCCTTCCATTCTCATACATGGCAGAGGAGATCTGAGCCTAGTCTGCAGGGTTGAGAAGCCACTCCTGTTGAAAATGTTGGGCCTTGACAGGTGTTTGTTGCCATTAGCTGCTGACATTCTGTGTGAACCTTGCAGCCACAGGGGAAGAACCTGGGCGAAGCTGGGATGCGTGTAACCCATCCCGTTGGGGTTTGGGTCTCTCAATTAGCCTTCCCTTTTTCTGGAGATGGAGACAGTTTATTGCGCTCGAAGTTGCTCGCCTCCTGCTCTAATTTGCTCTTTTACTTTTCATTCAAAGGTCTTGATTGTGATGATTCCTAGGAACCTCAGACAGTGAGCCTGCTTCCTTCTCTGATACTTATGCATCCCAGTCTGACTTATATGGGGGTAGGCCTTACTATTAAAGTCTCTTTCTCCCTTTCTTAGGGCCTTCTAATTGCTCTACAGGTTGGTTTCTATCCGCAGTAGGCCATGCTGCTGGAGTCTTTACTGGGTTTTCTCCCTTCCAGGAGCAATAGAAATGCAGGTATCAAGGAACTGTCAAGGATGTCCTGGACTCTGTAGACCTGAACTCTGCCCTTCTGTGGGTCAGCTCTTTGGCTTTCTTCTAGTCCCTCTCCAGAAGCTCCCTCCTTTGGGAGCTGACCTTTGCCTCTCTGATTATCCCTTCCAGAACACTTCCACCTGCACCCGGGAATGCTGCTGCACCTGAGAGGCTGGAGGCTCTGAAATACCAACGGATAAAGAAGCCCAAAAAGTCATCCAAGGGCTCTTCGAAGTCAAAGAAACGATCCGGTAAATGGTGTGAAGCGACTGCCCTTCTCTTCCCACCTTGCTTGCCGTTGTGAGGGTTCCTGGGCTCAGGGTCCCTGGGCTCAGGGTCCCAACCTTGGGCTTCCTCTGGAGTTGAATCCGCCAGCTTCTCTTGTTCTGTTTCTTTTTTTAGCACTAATTTTCATGTAATATACAAATATAATTTTCATGTAAAAGACAAGAAAGATAAGGTTAAAATCTCTGATTGTGCTCCCAGTTTATTTCCCCTACCTAGAGAACCATTGCTTTCAGTGCTGTGTGTGCCCTTCAAAAGCTTTAGAAGATGTATCCTATTGTTTCAATGTGTTTTAAAATAACATCAGTAGGATATATATACCTATACATATACATGTCTGTATGTGTGTGCATATATATATTTCACTCTATAGCACACCTTGCAAACATCTCTGTGTCTGAATATATTTCCTCTTTATCCTCTCAAGCCTTTTTGATGGGGCTCTACTTGGTGCTCAGGATACCTGGTGGCATGGGCCCAGCTTCTTCAGGTTGACCAAATTTTTCTCAATGGGAGATGGTGAAAACTGCTTATCCCATAGAAAGGGTACCTCTATTGAGACATGTCCCATGTTTACCCAGCAGTGATAGGTAGCTTCCAAAATAGTGCAAAAATAATTCAGCTCTCTTTTAGACTCAGGAAATTCCTTAATATTTATCAAATACTCTCTTTTCACCAGTGGTTTTAAAAATGTTGTAGCAGGCTGTCAAGGAAGAATGCTCAACAGTTTCTTTGCAGATCTTTGATAACTCTGTAGAGTAACTCTTTCTACAGGCAGGGTTATAGGAAAGTGTTATACAGAGTCAGAACCCCTTGACTCTTTTGGAGATGGTGGTCACTTAATGATCACTTAGCCTTTGGGTGGGTGGTACTAGTGTCCTCTTAGTTTACAGATGGAAATACTGAGGCAGAAAAAAAGAAAATAGGATTTTTAGGGCTTGGGTAAGAAACAGAAGCCCAAAGCTAAATTTTCAACTGATTTAAGCCCATTTCAGCTTAAGACCATAATGTACATTTAATATATATATATTATAATTTGTATATTTATTTATTACAAAGAAGTCACAACACATACCTGCATTCTTTCTTGTTCTGATGAGAGTGGTCCTTCTACTGTCTCTATGTTGACAACTCGTTGTCTGTCTTTAGCCCAGGTCTCTTCCATGAGGTCAAATCTCATATTTCCAGCCTCCTGCTGAACATGCTCTTGGGCGGTTCATGAGCCTGTATGATGTCTGAAGTAGACTTACTGATTATCCTCTCCAAATCTGCTTCTCCTCAGTTCTTCTCCACATTGACAAATAGTGCTGCTGCCTCCAGTTATCAGGCCCCTCATCTGGGATTCTCTTGCTTCCACTTCTTACATCTGGCCCACTTGGTGAGGTCGTTGCTTGTCCTTTACCATATGTCCAGGATCTGGCCATTTGTTGCTGTCTCCACTGTTAAGTCTGCATTCCAAGTCATCCACTCTCCCACCTTGACATATTCTGTGCCTCACAACTAGTCTTCCTGCCTCGTCCTTGCACCTTGTATAGTGAATTCCACACACAGCCACCAGCGCAATTTTTAGAATGTGTGACAGCATCCTCTCTCTTTCAGTCATAAGCATGCATGCACGTGCACACTCACACACACTGCAGCCAGAAAAGTTTTCAAACTCCTTTGACACCCCATTTGTCTTTCCGGCCTTTCTCTGCTCCAGCTGTGATGACCTCCCTTCTGTCTTGGAAATGTGCCATGTTTGTTCTAACTCCTAACTTTCGCACCTGCCGTTTCTTCTGTTGAGAATAATCTTCCCTCAGATCTGTGAAAGGCTCAAAATTCAATATTGAACTCACGTATTAAGCCTTCAAGGAGCAGAATTAGTGCCTCAGTTGTTTACTGTCACATAACTGTTTTATCTTTCTTTGTAACGCTTTTAGTATCTGCAGTTTTATTTCTGTACTTTTTAAGTCTTGATAGTTTGTCTCCTCTTCCCCATCTCCACACTAAAGCATAGTTTTCTAGAAAGCAAAGCCTTTCCTGCTGCATCTCCCAAAGGGCCGTAAGGCGAAGGAGTGGCATGGGCAGTCCAGGAAGAGTCCGGGCCTGACTCTACATCCCCAAAAGGATCATGAGGTGGAAAAGTGGTATGGGCAGTCCAGGAAGGGTCTGGGCCTGACTCTGTTACATGTGATTGCAATCTTGTGAAAAGATTGCTTGGGTAGCTGAGAAAGATGTACTGAATCCCAACCTGTTCTTAGAAGCCCTGATTCCCATTACCTGGAATGATGCCTGGCACTTGGGAGGCACGGTCAAAGAAATATTTGTAGGTTGACTGAATCTGTGAATTTATAGAAAGAAAAATCATACCCATTCAGCTTTCTTGCCTCTTATTCTAATGAGGGGAGGCGGATTTGGGTTGTTTTGTTCCCCTGTCTATAAGAAGGTGGCTTCTCTGTGGCAATTTGGTCTTGTCTCCCTGCACTCAGGTGATTTTTTTGCTTTAGCATTAGAAACTCAAGAGTGTGTGCCCTGCGGATGGAAGAGGCATGTGTGTAGAGCTATGCACTTCCTTTTCACCTACTTCCATTTCTTTTCTCTCCTTCTGCATACCTGTTCCCTTCTCCCTAGACGGTTCTGCCTCCCAGGCTCAGCAGCCTCCCAACTCTCAGGTTCTGTGGCCCGACGAAGCTGTCTGCCTCCGAAAGAAGAAGAGACACTCTCGTCCTGACCCCTTTGCCCGGCTCTCGGACTTGTGCCACCGCCAGCTTCCAGAGGACCAGACGGCGATTCTCAACAGCGTGGACCACGATGACCCAGGCCATGCCACTCTGCTGTGACTCGGCCTCACCCTAGGTGTCCCCCAGGCGGGCTCGGGCAGGGGGGGCACCACAGGGGGACATGTCCTCCTCCGCCCACCAAGGTTGGCCCAGACCGTCATTCTGCGTGCCCTCTCTCTTGCCGGAGCAGGAGTGTCCCTCCAGATCCTGGCCAATCAGCCTCATCTTTGGGATGAAGGGCTGGGGCAGACCTTCCACCTTGGGTCAAGGTCAGGAAGTGAATTGGGGACAGGAGATATCCGTCTCCTCCGTTCCTCCCTCTGCTTCACTAGATTAATGTTTTCTCATCTCTTCCAATGTCTTTGGAAGTGAAGAAGAGGAAAGAAATGGCTTTTACTGGTCTCTGCTTCTGTTTCAGTTTTCCAGGTTCTGGAAGAGGGCTGGGCTCCCATCCCATCTTCCAAGCTCCACATATATATAGATATAGATACAAAAGCATATATGTGTAGTGTGTGGGTTTCTCTATGTGTATATATATGTACATTGAAGCAAAGTGCTGTTGCGCTCTGTGGTCAGTGAAGGCAAGAGGAAGAGGGTAGTGGCCAGCTGGGGTTTGTGAGCAGGGCTGGCCGTGAGCTGGCCAGGTGCCTGACATCTGTCTCAGGACTCTTCCTCCTGAGACGGGATCCATGTCTCTCAGCTGAGTTCATCATGTGTCTCCTCCCTTCTCCTAACCAGAGCAGAAATGGGGCCTTGCTTTGATTATCAGCTGCCTGCTTTTGGGGTTCTGCAATGAGTTACCACAGAACTAAACACAAGCTTTTATTGGTTCCTGGGTGGAGAAAGGGTCGCCAGGCTGTCATCTTTCTTCCTTTCAGCAGGGCTTCTGCCACAGAAGTAGAAGCTGCTTAGCCAGGGGCCAAAGGCAGCCTCTGGGGCACAACTCGAGCTCATCCATCCGCCTCTTTGGCCCTGCCAGGCTGGGAATCCTGTGGCCAAGGGTGCGCCCGCTCCGGCGCCACCTGCGCTGAGTGCCAAGCTGCTGCGGCTCTATTTATACCATCTTGGGCTCAGCCCTCCCTGGAGTGCTGTTCTACAGCGACTGATTAGATCCTCCTTTCCTTTTGTGGGAGCTAATTCTCCAGATTGATTAATTGCCACTTGTGTGGGGCCTCCTGTGGCTCCTTCCCCTGCTCACCACATGCTGCCTGCTGACTCTTCTTTGCCCTGGGGCCTTCCTCCACCCCATGGACCCGAGCTCCAGTAGGACAGGTTCAGATGACATGAGGGTGCCTCAGTTTTCTGGGTTCTGGGGTGCTCTGGGTCCTGCTCTCTTTCCCCAGTTCTCTTATGTGGAACTGACTGAGGCACAGGAATGAAGGTGGATGTGGTGGTGAGTGGAGGTCTGGGCACTGACCCTTCCTCTGCCAAAGTCTTGTCTTAGTTCAGACTATTAGCATCTGGAAGCTTCCTAAGATGCGTCTCTCTCTCTTCCAACATGATGATGGTGCTGCCCACAAATAGGGCAGAAGACCTGGGGTTGGAGTGGGGGTGCATCTGCTCGCCCCCTACTTCCTGTGCAGGAGGTCTCTCTTCTGACTTGGCCTAGAATTAAGGTAGCTGCCAGGTTTCTTGAAGTATTTCCTCCTTGGTGCTATCTTGGTGGATCTGGGGGCCTTCACCTCTCCCCAGTTACCTGCGTAGCCATTAGCCACATTGGCACCAGAAGGCTTTTGTAGGGATCCTTGCAGTTGCCAAGGGTTCAACCCAGTGACCTGGGCAAGGTGGGGCCTGGGAGGGTTGATGACCTGTTCTTGGCACTTCCTTCTTAAGGAATGGACTTCTTCTCTGCCAGACAAGCCCTGGTGCTTCCTTTCTCTCACCCCATGAGCTGGGAACCAACTCCACTCTTGAGGTTCACCACGAAGGTCACATCACCACAGTTCACTTCTGAACATGCCTGAAAGTGTCATGCTTAGAGAGACAGAGTTTCTGCCACTCTGGGATTGGACCATGCACCTCTGGGGTAAAACCTGGGTCTTCCAGCTGATACAGTTCTCTGGGGGCATCGAAATTTTCTTGACCACTGAGCAGCAGCTCTGGAGAATGGAAGGGTAGAGGTTGGCAACTCTGCATTGTCTTCAGAGGCAGTGCCATGATGTCTGCTCACTTGAGCATCTCTCCTAGGGGATGTTGGGAGCAGACTGATTTGCAGATAAGTTTGTAACCTTTGCCCAAGTTCTGGTAGTGTGTGATTCCTCTACTAGGCAGAGTTCAGGTGGTCAGCCTGGGTCCTGGGATAGACTGAGATGTGGACTGTCAGGCTGTCAGACTTTGGAGTGAATTCGACCAGCCTTTCTGAGCTCCATCCTGGGAATCCTAGACCTTGAGGTTAGACAAGAAGAGATGATGAGGTAAGGCTTTGCTTCTTTAGGATGTCCTCCAGGGCCAAGAACCAAACTCTGGGGGCTGAGATGCTCAGACCATGGCTCTACTTTCCAGGGGCCCCAGTGCTAACAAAGGTGCTGACTCCTTTCTTCCTTGCCTTCCTCTGGCAGTGCCCTTACCTCAGCACATCAGACCAAATGGTGGGAGCTATGTGTTTTGCTGACCACTGGGTGGTAGCTATGCTGTGGCATCCCCCAGGCTAGGAAAAGACACTAGGTCTATCTATCTCTCAGTGGCCTGGGATCCATTTTCTTCCTAAGAGTACTTCCTCCTTATGACAGTGTCCTTGGGGGCCAGCAGCCTTCCTGCATCCTGTGGAACTATTTCCATCCTTCCCTTAAGGACTGCAATGGAAATTGGCAGAACACAATCCCATTTCTTCATGGGAAGGAGAGTACAGGTGTCATAGGCACATGCTTAGGTGCTGAGTGTGGGCACGTGTGTGACAGCATGATTGTAAATGTGTGCATGACAGGGCTGTGCCATTTCTAGGGACCAATGTCCTTCTAGTTTGCCTTTGACAATGGCAGTGACCCACTATGAAGCTTCTTAGGACCTTTGCACTCCACTCTGGGAGATCACGTCTTCCAAGCTTACACTTTAATGGTCTGGTAGCCTTGCAGTAGAAGTGACTCACACCAACACCTACTCATGTGTCAGATTTTCATTTGCCTCTTCCTTCTGCATCTTGGCTGGAGACTGTGACTGTCTCAGTGTTAGGTGACTAGGAAGAGGTGAATTGATTCTCCGAGGGGCCTGAAAGACTGCAATTGTGTAGGGAGAGAAGATGAGCAATAAATAAGGAGCAGAGGGTGAAACCTGTCTCGATTTTCTGGCTGGCTGCCAGCGGGCTCCCTGGTACTGAGTGGTGGTCTTCTGTTGGATTGTCCGGGGTGGCCCAGGGCCCACCCAGGGTGGTGGGTCCTGCCTGTTGGCCAGCCTGCCTCCTGTGCAGCTTTCCTCAAGAGTCTGGGGTTAGGAGAGGCTTTTGAGATTCTACTATCTCAACAGGAAGGATGCCTTCTTCCCGTGGGCTGACATGGTCTCAGGCCTTCTTGGGGGGGGGGCCTTGTGCCACCACCTTGCTCTTGGGGGAAGGCTCAAGCCAGGGTGGATTGAGCCGAGTACTTATTAATATTTTTCCATGCTCTCTGTCTTTATTTTTGATTTGTGACCTAAAATATCTGGGGTTGAACTTATTTAGGTTGTTTAGTCCTCTGTCTTTTTCACACAGAGGAAACTGGGTAAGGTTCAGATGCCTGACTTTTCTGGGGGAGGGGGTGGGGAAGGTTGACAAAACAGTAGCTTCAGGGGAAAAACAGACTTCATGGAGCGCCAGGGCGTCTTTTCCATGCCCAGGATCTGAATCCAGGGCTGGAGAGTGTGTGACTGGAATCTGTTTCTTCCCATTTTGTTAGCAAAAGTCTTTTGAGGGCTTGGGGGTGGGCTGGGGGGAGAATTGTACATAAAGTACATTTTATTAATATGTAGAGAAACCTAGGAAAAGAAAAGCTAATGGTTAATCTTGAGCTTGCTTTGCTTGCATGTAAAGGAGCTTCAGGGGCATTGCAGGGATTGTCGGGGAGCGGTAGGAAGGTGTCACAGGGTAGAGCTGGGCAGGAATGTGAGGAGCTCCTGTGAGTCCAGCCTCCCCACTCTCTGTGGGAACTACCCACATTTCCCTGGGGTTTCTGGCCAGCTCTGAGTGTCTTCTCCAAAATAAAGTGAGAGCAGGCTCCAGTACATGGCAGTGTGGAGCCCCATGTGGCTGCATTTCTTGCTTTGGAGACAGAGGTGTCTAAATGGCCAGATCTAGATAGAATGAAGTAATGGATAGGTATTTCAAGAAGGCTTGTTAGAGAGTTGGAGGGCAGAGGGGAGGCCTGTGTGCTCTGCCAGGTGTCTGTGAGTCTGGAAGGGACATAGACTATGAGGTGAGGCATGGGATAGCATGAGAAGACTATGCCAGGGAACATCAAGTTTCACCACTCTCTTTGGGGCATATGATAACTTAGCACCTTCAAGGGTGCAGTGTACACATTGGCACATCATCTCAATATTGCCTGGGGGTGGCTGGCTGGGAAGTGTTGGTCATGCAGGGTATATGAAGGGCATGTGTGTGGGAGTGGGTTCTTCTCCTCAAGGACAGACTAGGGACTGGGGTCCTGGCATATAAGTCCAGACTAGATCTTGGAAGAGGTCTTGTTTCTTAGCTGGACCTTACTTGTTTCTTCTAGAATTAGCCTCTAACACTAAGTGCCCAAATCAAACATGGACATCTTCTTTGTATTGTATTTTAAATGTATCTATTTGTTTTGGGGGGCTCCTGAGGCCCAAAGCTGGGAGACATGTCTTGAGATGCCCATCCTGTCACCAGCTCTTGGTCAGTGGAGGAGGAAGAGCCATTCTTGTGAGTTTCATGTGGTTTGTTTTCATAAGCAGAAGTTGGCAGGTTGCCTTTCTTCCTCTTTATTATCTGAAAATGTTCACAAGACATTGGTGATGGTGATGGAGAGGAGGAATTGGAGCCTGACTTGCCTTTATCACCCTTTCTTCATGAGGAATAGAGACTTCCTTCAGCCTGGGAAGCTACACAGTGGCTTTATACCTAGAGGTTTTGTCTATACTTTCACTTTTTTTGCTAGGTTAAAGTCACCAGTCTGTGGTTGAGGTAGGAGAGCAAAAGAGTTTCACCCTGAAATCAGAGACCAGCCATTATTCTCTCTCCTTAATGTCTCCAACTCTGCTTCTTTTTGGATCAAGAGGCAGAATTAAAAATCTCTTCTTTGGAAGAAGTCACCAAACCAAGGATCAAAGCCCAGATTGGACTTTGGCACTTCTATCAATTGTTATTTGGATAGGGGTATCCACCACCACCCCTTTCTCTGACTGCTTGTGAATCTACACTGGCCCAGAGCCTTATTTCTGGGCCCTTATCTATACTTACAAAACAGTCTTTCAGGAGCAAGCAAGTGAAATATCCCTACCAGATCTTCTGTGCATTGGGCTGTTAAGATGGTAGTTTTTTCATGACCCCGTTTTAAGCTGATTAG